AATTTAAGGAAAGGTTTAGGTGCTTCTTAAATATAATCTCGAAGAGAGGAGAAGATATAACATGGGTGGAGATGAGTAACAGAAATGAGGAAAGTTAGAGAATTTATTTCATTTCCAAATTATAAAACTATCATTCATCAGAAACTAAAACGTACATATTACTGATATCCTCTGTCTGCACGTATAGCATAGGGCTTTATAATTTTATATGTAATCGTACCTCTGCTGCCTGTTTCCCGACTTCCATCAATTTCCGTATCAAGCCTGAGACAGACCGTGTGACTTGGCTTAACATGAAGCAAATCAATTCTCACAGCTGCATCACCTAAATGGATGAGAAAGTCTTCCTTCTGTAGTTCACTCTGAATTATATCTCCATATTTATACATGGCCATTTTCTTTATATTTCTGCACCTTTGTCTATAGAAACATAATATTGTAAAAACAAATCTTTGTATAAGAATGTGAAAGCTACTCGTCAGATTTTCAATCAGACATACAGCTATTCAATTCAATTCTTTATTATTAGTGCGCAGTATCAACAGCCTGAAGGCAAATTACAGATACAGCACAGAGATGAGCACACAAACACAATAAAACCATAAAAGGTAAAACAAGCAGAATAAAAAATACATTAATACGGAGGACGTTAATACACAAGAAAATTGCAACTAAATATATTACCATATTTGTAAAAATAATTTAAATCAATTAAGTAAATTATACTATTATAGAATGTGAAGAAGTGTGACAATTTTCTTCTCGAATATGTCCAAGTCCCTGCAGATGACATTAGCAGCTGATGCGCATCTAGCACACAATCATAACATAATGTTACCTTTCCATTAGTGTAATAATAAAAGCAGGTTAAAATGAAACTAAAAAAAATATACTTTTTCACTGTCCCACACAGATTTTGTGTAATGTTTCTCGTGTACTCAGAAGACTGATTTTGCACCTATTATACACACCTGAGGTATTCTTGAGCTGTTACAGTACTTTCTTTACTGTGATGTCTGGAGTTGATAACAACACCACAAAGGATTTGCTTATATCCAGGCAAAATTTTACTTGATTTTGTAGAAAGATGTAAGAATATTGTTGGCTCCTCCTCGTAACTTTTTCTTGTGTCACCATGTTCATAACCCATAGCCTCCAACAAATTAATAATAGTAGTTCTGAGTAGGTCAACTCTCTGTTCACTCAAGTCCCATTTGTCTCGATCACATTGCAAATTATCTGAGGTTATAACAAATCTCTGGAAGAAACATAACACAAAAATTGTGAGCTGCAGACAAGTTAATATTTTTAAGTGAGAGGAAATTTAATGAAAAACAAAATTAATTATGAATAATATTAAATCAATATAAATCATACTTGATGCTTTGCTGGGAACTGCCCATACATACATTTCTGGGACAGAATTCTCTGGAGAACACATTTGAAGGTAAGTTTTCTGTCCAGATGTATCTGGACCCTGTCAAGTTGTAGTGAACACTTACTTACAACAAGAGACCAGAATTTGCTGTTTTCTATAATATTCTTCATTACCTAAAATTAAGATATAACATTTTAGATCAAATATGTTTCATTACTGCACTATCATTATAACTGATAACAACCATCACAGTATTTTCAATACATTTCCTTTATTAGAGTGCCTACCAATAGCAAATAGCTTATAATAGGTGAGCACTATTCAATGCACACAAATGTATGACTAAAACAAAATAAAATAGCAACTTCTTCTTCTTCTTCCTTGGCTCTACAACCCAGTTGCGGGTCTTTGCCACCTCCTTTTTGGAGTTTTCCTAGTCTTTGAAGTGTGCATTTGTGAGTAGTGAGAGATTAGCCCACTGACTGCACAATTTCTACACAACTGCTAGAGCCATCTAGAAGCGAATCAGGAGAGACTTGGGTGAGAAATGGCTGCTGAATTTTGCTTACGAAACATCTCGTTCATGTTAGTAAGGTTCCTTTACATGTCGTAAGTCTACAACATGGGACCTCCAACTTTACTTCCCCCTCTGAAGGAAGTTGTGCTATGAATTTTTATCACCCTTAAAAATAATCCATCGACCTCGGCTGGGTTTGAACCCGCAAACCTTGGGTCCAGTGGCGAGCACAACTGAGGGCAACAAAAATAGTAAATTAATAGCAGCAAAAATAAAACAGGGATTAAATAAGAAACAGTTTTCAAATTGAAATGTAAAATTAAATGTGAGCATTAATTACTTCCGATTGTCCTGTAACATCCAGGGTTGATTTTTGCAAAGAAATATTAACCTGAATTAACTCGGGGAAATATTCTTTCTTCCGTAACACTATTACTAAACTGAGTTAACTTTTGCCATGAAGAAAATACATATATGTGACTCTTGGTGTCAACAGATTACAGACTGCTGCAATTTCGTAAGCCACGTCCATTAAAAGTGTTTACACTATACAGCACAGAAATAAGATTTTTATGCTTCTGTAGCATGTATCACAAGTTCCTGCACTAACTGCAGTGCCATTTGTGTGCTGTGATTCTGAATAAGTTAATTTTTACAAATAATAGAAAGTGACCCAAGGTAAGTCACGATAATAATCATAATTATATAAATGACATTTTGTACAGATCAATTACATATTTTTCATCAAATCCCTTATCAGTAATTTAATTTTTGTAGGTATAATCCAAACATGAATCATATTTTGAGAAAAGAATTAATCAGGGAAGGGGTTAATACCAACAGCAGAAGTAGAAAAGTCTCAAATTTGCTTGGTGGGTACATAAAGAACACCTGGAAACATAATTAATTTTGGAATCGAAAATACTCTTTAAAAAGTTTAACACTGAAATGCCACCTGGAATAGTATGGTCATAATTATGACAAAAATCAGATTGAAATATAAACTTACAACTATTTCTTGCATATTTTCCATTGTATTAGAATATGATAATTAATCACTCACACTTAGACCAAATTAAAAACAATATATAAAACTAGTAGGCAGAGAATCATATTAATGAAAATTCAGTTTGCTGTATAAATAACATAACATGACAATCTCTCACACAATAAGAACATAAAATTAACTCCTTGAGCCAGTTCCATGAACACTGGCTGCTAGCACTAGCAACTGTATGTATATGTGTATGTACCATGCAATGTGTAAAAAAAACAATCGCCTTATACACTCTATTGGGTGCTAATGGAAAATGTGTTGTTACCAGTGGATTCTAAATGCCTTTATATTGTTTGACATCTAAGGTACATCATGAAAACTAATTCAACACCAATATGCTTTTACATTCATCAAAACATTTAGTTCTGAAAATGACCTATCATTTTTTCAATAGTGACAAAATTACTGTTCTGCTAAATGATAGTGACAATAACTGTGCTGAAAGTGGTACTGCTTGTCTTAAAGTGAAACTGATTATGCACAGGACAAATTTGAGCCTGAAGAAGAGGAAGGCACTAAAAAAAAGTATTATTAATTGAATTGAATTATTTAACCTGTCACAGTGACAGCTGAGGGTAACGGTAAGTGGGTGTGGCATGATTTAATGCAGGATACAGAGCACTGAAAATACATTTTTTGGGGCAAATTTTACGTTTACTTCACCACTATGGAGAACTGAAAGGGTGATAATTTGAAAACAATAAAGCCATGCATCCACCATAGCATTGGCTAAGTAAACTTGAAAACATGTAATTATCTTGTAAACCTTCAGGGTTATATTTGTTTCTAAGTTGCAAGGAAAACATACTCCATAAAGCAATATAAATACCAGCTGGGGTTCTTTACAAAACCGATATATTCGTCAGTGGTTAGTGGTTCTAGTTCTATTTTTTGCCGTACCCATTCCACACCATCACAAACTGTTTCACCTTCGGCTACCTGTGTTCGACTTATACACGAGTATTCCAATATTGTCTTTGGATTTTCTGCTGCAAAAGTCGGCATAAAGCTGTCCTCACACTTTACACAATTCTGAAGATATTTCAGCCAATACTTCAATTGTACTGGAAAACTGAAATCACCACACACATGCAAGTTTTCCTTATGTTTACGTATTAGGCAGCATGTCCGCGAAATTCTTGTAAGATAATAACAAAGTCTGACATTAAATAGTTGAACAATGTCAAAATTATTTTCTGTTTCCATGCTAACATTTATTTAACCACACACACACAAGCTAAGTGAAATCTTTACCAGAAAACTGGCACAAGTTATGCATGCAATAACATTTTACTGTGTTCCTATTCACTGCAGCCGGCAGACGACAGTCATGGATTATTACCACCACATAATGCCAACATACAGATCGATAACTTATTGTTACAAGTTGGACTTAAGGACCTTACGGTGGCGCGTATGGACATAGCTGGTTTTTGGGTTGCAACATATGTAGTTTGGTAAAAGTTTCCCGACCTTTCAGAGGCACTTGCCGTCTCCGTCATCAGGGCGATCATTGTCCTCATATTGGAAATAGTGGCAACAAGTACATGGCGCTACAATCCCGTTGACAAACCTCATGCTAAATGTTAGCGATGTACATGGCATGTCACACACATATTGTGCTACCATCTATCAACAGTGTTGGTACGATAAGAACGATTTGGCGTCTAGGACCTACCTGGTAACAGCCGCTATTAATACCCCAGTCGGTAATGTCAGGACAACTTTACAAATCAGAAAGAATGTCAACAGATATTTGCTTTGAACCTCATGACTTTAGTTCACACCATATACTTTAAAGTCACATAAAACACTGTTTTTCAAGAGGATTTGCTGTGAACAGAATTATTTTAGTAGGATTTGTGGTTTTCACGGTAATGTGTCTGAAGATGGCTGTCTTCTGAATAGTAGTGATGTAGTCTGGTAGAAAGTTAATCGCCCTGATCAAGAAGGCAGCAAGAACCAGACTACATGACACTACAATCTAGAAGACAGGCATCTTCTGAATATATTTAAATGCAATACTTGTTTCTAATACAAATATAAATAACAATTTATGACAGTGATTTACAGTCAACTACAGTATGACAGCAAAAATATTTACACCACTATTGCTTACATGCATTTATAGTAACTTAAAAGTTTAGTTGAGGTAAATTCTTGTATGGAGCAGGTGTGAGACAGGAGGTACGTTTTAGGGCTAGCTTAAACTTCTTAAAATTGTGACTCAGTGGCTCCCACCACTACTCAAACTAATTCAGAGAAATAATCAGTGAAAACTGTCAATGAATTTGGCTGCACTCTGTACTTAAAATGCTGACAGTGCCCAAAAAGCTAACCTATAGGTTTTGTTTTGTTTTGTTTATGGCAAAGAATGATTATGTGGTGACCTACTGATTAATATGTTAACTTTAGTTGTCACAACAAATTAAAACAAGTGATCTGAATAAATAAATAAAGACTAATTAAAATTATTAATAAACAAAAAAGTAAATGATAAATTTCATTATAACAATGACCAGTTCATGATTGAAATCAATGAAACTATATCAACCAAATGTAAAATGACATCAAGACAAAAAAATACAAGCACGAAAGTAAGGTTAAACATCAAATAAAGTATGATTATTAACTTCACCAATAGTATCTGACTTAAAAGAGAATACATACAATACAGATCAACAAAGCCAAAGTAATTTCAATTTTGAATAAAGTAATGACATTACTGATTTCAACAAAAAGAGCTGATAACCATTTGACCTGTTTTTTCGAAGTTTGCCAAATGGGCTGCCTTCAGGAATTTGGAATCATATTTATAATTTAGAGCACACCTGAACAATTTATCAAAAAATACATGCATAATTATTCAGATAAGGGCCATGAAATACTCAAGTAAAATTTAAATCTACCATGTCTTACGGAGAAATGTTAATAAAACACAATTAAATATATGATTCAAATATGGAACCAGAAATAAGGCTAAGATTGGGAGAATATAAAGATTCAATTTTATGCCAGATTTCTGTAACTCAGTTTATGGATAAGCCTTAACTTAAAATTAATCTCATACTTTCCCTGAACACATGCAAATGTAACTAATAACAGCACTGGGGTTCGATTCCCGACGGGGGCAGAGGATTTTTCCTCTGGCCTCCGCGTCCAGACTGGCTCTGGGACCCACCCAGCCTCCTATCCAATGGGTACCGGGGTCCTTTCCCGGGAGTAAAGCCGGCCGGGGCGTGATGCTGACCACTCACACCCATCTAGTGCCGAGGTCAAGAATGAGTAGGAGCTATACCCTCCACTCCCCCCAAGCGCCTACATGGCGTATAGTGGGACAGCTTTACTTTTACTTTTTACAGACAAAGACAAAAGCCAAAATGCTTAAAATATTATCTCTACCACCATGTTCAGAGCCAAGAATATGTCATTCAAGAGGTACCTAATGACTACTATGATGCTAAAAGAAAATGGGAATATTCATGTATACCAGCAGTCAAGACTACAAGCTGGGAGAACATAAAGTTATAGACAGAAAATTACAACTACAAATAACTTAGGTAAACATTATAGAAGACATCAAAATTTAAACACATAAGTTCTCTTTATCCAGGAGGAGAAGTAGACTCAATTTTATACTAATATTTAATTTGATTTTGTGCATATCCTGAAGTTTAAATTTCAGTTTTCAGATTTCACATAAGGCTGTTGCACTTATTACAAACCAACAGTATTATAATAATGGACTTATTAAAAACTGGATTTAGCACATTCCCAATAACAAAAAATACAAAATTAATTAAACCTATCCCACCTTTCTCTGCCTTTATTAGATTATTGTTCAAGTGAGGATAGGGAATATGGGGGTTCAGGACAAATCCAGACAACAGATGCCCAAAAGAAATTCTGGAATGGATGCCACCAGAAGGAAGATGACAGGAAGACTGAAGGATTAATATAATGAATCCAGAATGCAGTACCAGAGAGAGAACTAGAACAACAAAAATTAATGGATAGAGAAAGAAATAAGAGGCAAAGAAGAAAAATACACAAAACTGGAAATCATGTTTGGCTAGAAAACAACACTGTCAACACAGCTCCAGCTCTCCCTTAAGACCAGCTACGACTTCATTACGTACATAAATTTCTTATGTTATTTGTTACTCATGACTGATACTTGAAGATTTTTGTCTTCTGGGTAATGGCATGATGAAACTTTGTATATTAGTTACCAACATTTCAGAGGAATGTATAATTTTATTTTTACCCTGAGAAAGAAGGCAACATGTTTCTCCAAAATGTTGGTAGAAACCTGTAAGACCACACAGCATCATAACATAGATTACCAAAGACCTCATTTCAATGCTGTGAAAATCTCAAATCTCATCCTGATAATAAAAATAAAGATATTTCTCTGACTTGCCAATGACAGAGCCTTTTGATCTACAGTGCCACACTTACCAGTGAATCTGACATGACAGGATGCCACAGCAGCAGTTAGCTAACTAACAGAAAATTTATTAGCCAAAACACAGATTACAGAAATCGCATGCTAACAGGTGAATTCTGAGTTAAGTGGGACTCTCTGCATCATGTGCCAACTCTTGTCTGTAAATCTGTATCAAGTAATTCTTAATGGTTTCAGAAAAGAGCTGATTACTTTCTTTAAAAAAGTGGAAGTAAAGATATTTATCTTGTTAGGGGTGCATTGTTTAATTAAAATATATGCAATTAAATTACTGAGCTGCTTAAAATATTTATTTACATGAAATATATTTTGCAAGATATGGGTGATGTTTCTATATATAAGTGATCACTTTAACTGTACAACAATTATGGCAAAAAAATCAAATACTAAATTTTGTGACAACGCATTCTACAAGTTTACCAATAAACAAACACAATACAGCGAGTAAATGCCTAAATGCATGTATTATGAGACGTGCTTAAAAGTTTTCATGACCAGGGAAAAATACATCTAGAAAGGGTTACATGTGTACTTTGCAGGTGGGAGGGAACAGCGAATCAACATTTCTGTACAGCAGCAAAATAGTTGGGCCAGCCCTGATTAAAAATAATAATTTATGAGTAACCTTAACTTTTCATATGATCAACATATTTTATTCTCTGAGAACAAAGCCCTCATTTTTAGTTTCAGGTTTTTAATGAAAATTGGAAGGTATCAGAACATCGTTCAACTTCCTTCACCCCTCTTTCTCCACAACAACATATCCTTAAGTGGCAAATCACATGCCTTCTTAAGAAAATATATGCTTCAGTCTGTTCTTCAAATACTTACTAAAAAAAAGTCCATCTGACTTTCGGAAAGACTCGGAACTGGATGGGTAATAATATGACTAGGAAGGTTCACTTCACCCTGAATCACAGGACACAGGACAGCTTACCTCACAACTTGTTAGACATTGTTATATAACAACTGAATGATTATGCCCTCTTACTAGACAGCAGCGGTAATCTCGGTGGCGGAGTTTTTAACTCAAAGCGTCTCTGTTCCTGGTGTTCATCACTCTTTGAAGACACCAAAAGAACATTATCATCAGCAACATCAGTATGCAAACGGCGGACATCCGGATTGAGCAGGGAGAAAGGGTTGGAACTCCGATCTGTAATAATAAGCACAGCCCCAGAAGTCCCGAACTTTTCAGATTCAAACTCTGATATCTCCATATTAAGATACTGTTCTTACACAGAAAAAATCTGTCTCTTGTGTTCATTATTTCAATCAGAAGACTCAAAAATTTCTACACGTCACAACCTTTAACATGTTGCAGTGACCACTACAACTTCCAATCTGAACATAACTTATCGGCTGAGGAGAACTTCTTTGAGTTAGGTCCCATGTGCTTAGCACAACTAATAAAGTCCAAAGAGATTTCTATGAGGGAAAATAGCTGATAAATATTCCTCATAACATTCACCTTCTCTGACAAAGCTTGTAGCCTAAACACGAACTCATATTTACTTTTCTCTCTCTGAAATAAATGCTTAAAATTATAGCAGTTCTTGAGCTACTGTAAACAAGCATGCAGGTATTTCAGATGACACTTCTGATGATATATAAAAACTAATGACGTGTCTGTTGATAGGGATACATATATAGACTGACTGGTTAATTATTGGTTAGCACTTTTACTGTATGCACAAACAAACATGTATCATCTCTCCATATCTGTAAGTAATGCTTTGAAACTGACAAAAATTAATTTCTGTGTAATGACTTACTTTCAAGAAAAACTCTTTACACAAACTTAAAATGTAGTTCAATAAGAAAAAACTGGCTTTAATTTTGAATATATGACAGGCTTCATGCATGTCTGGACTGATTTACAAATATGAAAAGATTTTCATACCTGATACATCCAATAATCAGCATTATATAGCTGACAGAATAAATTTATAGTTTATGAATTCTTCTACTCATAAACGTGAGGAAAGGAATATGTTTGACAATAACAGCAACTATGAATTTTGATATTAGGAGTTTAAGACTTCTTGGCCATGCTACTGCTTTCTTACACTTCATGCTGTGCCTGGAGAAATTAAACCTGAGTAGTTAAATATTATCATACCTCTACAGTCACTGGTGGGGCGATGATGTGGACGAGGGGAGATTAGTCTGGAACAAGTAGCAGGCTGACTGGATGCAGAACCCAATGCCTCAGCAGACTCCTCATCCAGATTCACGCAAGAATGCCTTGGAGAAACAATCCTCGACGGAGATTTTTTGTTGCACCGATGCAAACTTTCCTGTAATGTATATGAAAATTGTAAAAAGAACTCCTGCACTATATAGAGTGACGACAAAAGACCTTTAGAGAACTATATGTGCTAAATCTATATTCATTCCTACTCATTACATATTCCACATACTTTTTTTCCAGGAATAAGATAAAGAAATGGTTCATATGTAGCATACATTTCAACATTTATTTTCTATAAGTATTTGGTTTATGACTGCAGCAGTCATTTTAAACTGAATAACAAAGTTTTTCCTGAGTTCAAATAACTTCACAAACATTTCTTCACGAGTAGCAAAAATGAACGCTAAATACGTCAAACCAAATCTCAGCTATAATATTTCTTTCTCTTCTGGACAGAAATCTTCAAACTTCGTTAAAGATGTGAGCACTATACACTCTGATCATATCAGAGACCCCTGCAGTCTCTCCAAGCAATGGAAAAGAATAGGGTCATCGGCACAAAACATGTATCCTTTCACACAAACCCCATTAAAATGAACTCTACCTGGCTAACATCATCACTTGACTGCATGGGGAAGCGGAATACCTTGAAGTTTGGTGACTTTGGCCATGTGGTTGGTGGTGGACTGCGGATCATATGTTTGTGGATCTCTGGTAATGTAAGAGGATCCACATCAAGATCTGCAGGAAACTCCTAAGACCAAAGACACATTTAAAATAGCTGAATACAAAATGGCATAATGTACCCAATGCAGCCTCATTATAATGTTCCAACATTTTGCCACAAGAAAAATAATATTTTCTGAACATGAGAAAGGTTATGGAATATATATATACACACACACACACACACATACAGTGACGTAACTCAATACAATCTTCTTGAGCGATCAGCTGCTTCAAATGGTTAAAAGATGAAACCAAAAGAATAGTTTTTACTAGATCTGCTGACTTTGGCCATGCTTGCGGATTATAAAATAAGCCACTCTACTGTGGCTCAAACAACATCGTATTTTAAAATTGGTAACATACCTGACACATGAGGTTAGCATCGTCTGACTCTGATTCCTCCAGACTGTCAACCAAGCTTTCTCTACTGGCCAGAACCTACATTACAAACAAACAAACAAATAAAAATTGCATCAACCAATTTTTACCTTACATTCATATAATTAATAGTATTAAGTTACAGGATAAACAGAGAATATAAAATGTATCGCTATCAAACACAACATATAAGATGTATGTAACCACAAATCTGCTATCTGAATCACGATATTCTTAAACCATTATGTCTCATTAGCCCTTAAATTTGAAGGCTCATAAACACTGACCACAGCATGAAGAGGATCATTTTCTTTGCAGAGCATTTAATTTTGGCAAACAATAGCTACTACATAGGTTCTAATACGAGATAAAAACCTTTATGTTTCACTATTTTGTCTGCATATTGTCATTACATTCAGCACTGTCACAGTCTACAGAAAAGCTTCACGTAATATTTAACAGGTGCAACTTTGTCACCACAGCGTCTTTTACAGTCTGCAACACATTTTCTTGCATTTCTTGGCTTCTATTCAAGATCTTCTTTCATGACTGTCGAAAACAGGGGCAACTGCTACAATTTTCTTATTGGATTCTTCTCTGATGATCGACTGTGACAGTTAATCTCAGACTCCAATTTTATGTAAATAACAGTACAGTTAATTTAGGTTGAAAACTGAATTAATGTTCAATCGTTTATAAAATGCAATAAACGGGTTACAATTTCACAATTTTCCCATTTCTTTCCACATTTTTTTGGGGTTTGTTCTAACTTTTTCTCAATTCACTAACTAACTAGATGGCTTACCGAACCCAAAGGTTAATCACCGCATTAACCAAAGCCCTCCAATGGACCCTGTCCTGGGCCAACAAAATCCAGTCTCCTTCAACTCCTATCTCCCATAGATCCCGCCTGACATCCTCCCAACTACGTCTAGGTTTCCCCAGCGGTCTCTTCCCCTCAGGCTTCCCAACCAATACCCGGTGCACATCTCTTGTTTTCTCAATTCACTATTCCTGTAAAATTTAAATCTGGTACCAATGCATGAAGATAACAATTGGTGAGCCTGAATTCAGTATCTACTGCCTTATATGTGTACCTGGAGGAATGGATTATCCTGACGAGAAAGCCGTAAAGCTTCCATATCCTGGTCAATATCACGCGTGCGTCCTGGGGTGAGGGTGAGATTAGATATGGCGGGGGAAGGTGGACAACAGGGTGCCTGCACCATGATGTCCACTGCTGTTACTGAGAGCGTAGAAGGAACTCTTGGAACTGCCCCATACCCATATGTTGGCACAGATGCTGAAAAGAAGAAAGAAAAATCCAAGTCTACTATATGTGACTGACCCTTGACTTATAAAAGCACACACTCTCAGTTGCCTAGGTTTTGTAGTATTGAATGATTAAAATATTTTGAATGATGAAAGGTTGTATAACATGTATTTATAATAATATGACTAGTTACTCATGCCTCTTCTTTTCCTGTGATGTTTTGACTTAGTTATGTTATTTATTAACAGACTATGTAGGTGTACTAATAAAGTTTAAAAAAATTATTCAACAAAATTGAATTTATCAACAGGTCAGTTTCAGTTGTTTTAGTTTAATTTAACCCACTGGCACAATTCTATACTTATTTTGCCATTTATTTATTTCTAATATACTATATTATACACGTTAAGCAGACAATATCAATTAATATGGCAGTGGTTTTCTATTATTTATTTGCTTTATACAAGACTTGAAGTTTTCTATTACATTGTGTCCTTCTATGTTGTGATGCAGTTGGTTACCAACATTTTGGATAAATCTATTATCTCCATTTTCATATCCACATCAACATTGAAGATGCAGACAATGTTCCTGCAAAACATTCATAACCAACTAGAAGACTGCATGGCATCAGAACCCAGACCATGATGCATTCTTTGCATTTTTTTCCAGTGAGGACAAATAAAATAAGAATTCTGTCATATATCTGGTAGTAAATTATCTGATGTGGGCAAATGTTGAACAGGGTCAAGAAAAAATGGTCACCATGTTGCAGAGTTGTGTTAGATTAGTTCAATCTTATGACCTTTCAATTTTAAATGTAATTTAGAATATAATGGCACACTTCAATTTTACTTTGTTGTAGAATATACTTAGGTGCAGTAAGTACAAATAACACAAATTATTCAAAAAGCCTAATAGTAGATGGCATTACACTGGAGCATGGTAAAGAAGCCCATGTACATTGTCACCATATTGTAAATATGTTCCCAGAAAAATTTATTAAACTGCTTCACAAATGTACCCTGGTACTTACTACAAATACAAGTAATGTAAATTTACTTTCTCATATGCCTTGATGTCTCTACTTACTGTGATGTTCAGATGATCTATCCATATCACCAATAAAAGAAGGATCTTCAAATTCTACATTAGTCTGGTCATCATGGGGTTTCTTACGTTTAAAGATATCAGCACAAAAAGAAAAGGGTGACTTCTTGTTGTATCCATTCCAAGTGCCTGTCTCATTTGCAGGAATGTGAATCATTCCAGCCTGGAACAATCCCATAGAAGTGTCGGTAAATTTTTGAGGCGGCGAAACAGTACTTTTCATATAATAAAGCAAGTTTGTCAGAGAACTTAGACTCTTCTTTGTTAAATGCTGTCAGCCAATTAACATTTGTTGCCCATAATTTTCTCAAAGGTATGGTTGGATGTTTCATAAAACTTAAAAACCTGACTTATTTGGTTTGTCTGTTAAACTTATGATCTACACCAAGCATTTCTAGGTAGTCATATACAAGTCTGCACAATTCTGGCCAGAAGAATATGTGATTGCTATTTATTTTTCCTACTATACAGTAAATACCACCTTCTCATCAAAACATGAAATTTCTATATTACCACAATGCAAATGGTCGTGGAGAGTAGCAAGACCGTATAAAGCTTCACTGTTGTAAAATATTGGCATATATTCAATCTTTCATGCTGAAAATCCAATTGTGCTCCTCTTATTCTTAAATAAAGGAAGGAAGAAATAAAAATAAATAACTGCAGGCTTAAAAAATAAATTAAATTTTATAGCTTCCAAAAAAAATTTAATTGGGGATCAAACTTGGGTTGTACACAATGTAGGCAAACACCTAACAACTGAGCTTTTGTAGTTAATGATGGCTGCCTCTTTTACAAAACTTATGAACAACAGTAAAAAACATGAAAGATAAAACCGTACATTACAAAGAAATATTAGGAGTCAACATCTAATACTTTGACCAGGAAGTTAGAAGAGGGTCCATTTCCATTGCTCTTGCAAAACCAGAGCCAAATTGTTAAGTAATAACTGACTGGGTCCCATTGTAACTGTTGGTATTCATATTATGTATTCCACATCTTGGGATATGTTAAGTTTAAATGATACATCAACTTGTTTATCATCATAAAAAATCTTTGATAATTCTGCTACAATGGATACAATTTTAGGAACATATAAATTACACACTTTGCTACATTTGTTTAACTACCACAAAACAAAATCCTCTAAGGAACACAAGCTAAATTCTCAGGTTTGGTTCTTCATAAAATTGAAAGACAGTACCTATAGCATAAAATAAATAATTTTTCTTCATCTTTTCTCCTGGGAAAATTCCAAACCTTCCAATTCGATGAAAATGACCACTAAATATTACATACGATACCTCTGACCTCAAAGAATTGGAAAATATAACGACTCTTAATGGCCTACAATAAAAGGCCAACTATGTGGTTTATTGTGAGTAGTCAAAGTTTTTATGAAGCCCGCCACATTTACAATCCACAAGTGGTACACGATTCTGTACGCCTTCTTCAATTGTAATGTCAGAAACATAATTCTACACTGACATGAAATACTATCGAGTGCATGCAGTCTCAACATCCATATCCAATACTACAGCATAATACAAAACTTAAGATTCAACAACAATAACGCAATATTATGAATACAGCGATACCGTGAAAATCCTCTGACAACATTTACGCGGTACATTGTACACCTTCGTGCCTTCTTTTGCACATCCAAAGTCACAGCGACTTTCAGATGCTGTCACACCGGGCCAAACTATTTTCTGCAGCAGGTCCATACCGGTAATGTTTGGGATATACGGTCTTATGAACGTTTTACACACCTTAGCTATTTTTGTTGCATGATTATAATTTGTTCTGCATTTTAACTAAAGTATCATTGACATCTCTCTTTTGTATCATACTCAGCAAAACAGATATAGCATATATTTATCGAATCGATAACCTAGACGACACCGACGCCAGCTTCGTTCCATTGCACGCAGTACCGTTTCCTATGTGCTTAACAACCATATACGCATACATCACGAATCGTAGCGAGTTATCGACTCCATGATTTAATCGCCTATAATGTAACCGCAGCGCAGCTAAATATTACTGGTTATAGTAAAGAAATATTAGAGAAGGCGTTCTAAATATTGAGCCAGGGATGCCACTGCACTGTATGGTGCTGCATCTATGCGGAAAATGCCCAAAGTAGTAAACACTTAAGATTAGGTGGAGAACAGAGAAGACGATGTCGCTAGCAGCCGTCTTTTCTGCTCCGCGAGTCTGCACCAGCAAATTCATCTCGCACCCACTGCCTGCCCTACACAAGGCCCTCTGAAATGACCACACCTACCCACCTCGAAAATGGCAACAGCAATGTTTGCCGAAACGTCGGTTAAGACCAAATATCCGATGCAACTGTAACTCGAATTTACACATCAAGCTTCAGCCGCGAAAACTTTCCGGACAAAGTTAGCATATGTACATATATTCAGTAAGAGTGATGCGTTTGAAAAATAAGTTTTGATGTTCAGAAAAATGTTTTCTGTTTTACTTGCAAAGCTAACAGTATCCATTGAAATTTCTTTGTGATGTATTGGTTTTGTGTACTTATTTAACACCACTTCCAGTAGCTCAGGCTATATGGTGTCAAAGTGAGGATGACAGTTAATAATGAATTAGATGTTTCATCTAATTTAATTTAATTTTCTATCTTCAACATAATGTCTTATTTAATATCCATTTTTATCAGTTTCAAATTACACCAAATTCTGTGAGTCAATCTTAAACAACTGCTAAATTAATATCCACCAGATACAACTTTTTCTAGTTGTATTTAGTCTTAAGAGGGTAAATGGAAAGGAGGTGGTTGCTAATTTTTGGTAAAATTTACAGAAGGTAATTCAATTATATATAGGTTTTCTTTATATTTTAAATGCTTTTGATGAACAAGTATGCAGATTATACTAAAGGAAAGACAGTTACTATATTTTTAATGCTAATGCTTTATTCGTCAGGTGCAAAAATGGAAGAGTTGGCCAAAAGGTTTGTGAATGTCAAATTGTGAATTTGAGCCTCACCACAAAACAATTTAGCTAATGAGGTTTACTATTGTACAAGCTATATAATTATTCTCGCCAATTTCATTAAAATTTCAAGAGATTAGTACCAAGAGGGCAGGCTTTTCCCCCTTTATTTTATAAATCTCTATGTGAACATACCAAGTCATTACAATATATTACATATGCCAACAAAAATTCTGATAATCACACATTCTTAGAACGTAAACAAACACCACAGTAAAGAATACAATGGCATATTACACTAAAACTTAAATTCCTTATATTTCTTTGCTTGTTTATTATCCTGATGCTGTTGTCGCTGTTTTCTCTTGTTTTTTTGACGAGCAACATGATCAGCCAACATGTCAGACAAATCCTCCTTCTGCAACTGTGACTGTTGTTCCCTGATCTGTTGCTCATAACGTACAGCCATTGCATCTGTATCAACAAGATCCAATTCTGATGGATCCAGTGCAAGTTCCACTGTGCCTGGACCTTCAGGGCCCCCTGGACCACGGCGAGTGGGGGCAATTACTCCCAATGGAGGTCCTCCAGCCCCTGTCATATCATATATATGTGTGGAGCTCATCATGGCTCCACCAACACGATCTATACGTTTCTCAGGCAACACCTGGTATAAAACTGGTGTTTCATTTCCTTCCATTTCACTCTCAATTTTTCGTTTCCTGAGTTCAATGATCTCTGGAGTCTCCATGCCTGCTGGAATTGAGGTGATGCCAGAGGGAGTGATCAAACCTTCTGCTGGAATGACCAGCCCTGTTCCATCTTCCTTCTCTCCCTCTTCTTCTTCACTTTCCTCCTCAGACTCTGACTCACCCCAAATTGTACGATCCACCTCCTCTTCTTCTTCTGGAACTGACTGATAATCTTGGCCCTGTATACCAAATACATCTCCATATAAAGTTCTTCCGGTTTCATCAACTGGTGGTTTTCCCCAACCTCCAGCACGATACCCAAAAGAACAGCCGTCAGGAATGGGCGCATTGAGTCCTGGGATCTTGAGATTTGGATATGATGGAGGTGGTCCATAACGCTGCATTGCAATAAGCCAAGGACGTGAAACTTTGTTTGCATTTGGCCCCACGGGCATCCCCAGAGCTGTTCTCAGTTCTTCACTCGAGTCGCCCGGCTTTTTCTCCTTCAGGCGAGTCTCAAATTCCTTGCCTTCATAATAAAGATCGCCATGAATTGACATACATGGCTTTGTCTGCCATTTGAAAAATGCATCATGGAGTTTCTGATAATCAATATCAATCTTCCCAAGCTTGGGCCTAGCCCGTTCCCTCATTTTTGCTTTCAAAGTCCGTTGATCCTCTTTTTCTTGCAATGCTGCTCTCATTTCCATAATACCAGTCTTTTTTATAAAATCTGGCAAGTCAAAAGGAGGCTTCTCAATACCACGTTTCCCTTGCAAGTACTTTCTTTTAAAACACCAATGACATGGCACTGGAACTGTATTGCGGTGGGCTTTAAGTTGTACCAGCAATTTGGGATCCCTGGCTGTCACATCATGCATTTCAACTACATCAGGGCGATTTACAAGCTGCTTTAATTCAGCAACACTCAAACGTGTCAGTTTCTTCAGTTTTCTCTTTCATAACTTCTTTCTTCTCTTCTTCCTCTTCATATTCATCTTTTTCTTCTCTTCTTCCTCTTCCTCCTCCTCATATTCATCTTCCAACTTTGGAACTTTTTTTAGGTCTGGTTCTCTAACAGGTTCCTTCTGCAACTGATCCTTACTTGGGTCCTCAGACTTTTCAGGTTCTGAGATTCGGAATGTTTCAAAAATACGAGCAAACTGACGATACATAGGATCCAATTCATTCAAACCCAAAGTTTCTTGAATATACTCAATTTCAACATCAAGTTCTTTCTCTCCAGTCTCTTCATCTGGTTCCTTCTTTTCCTCTGCCTTCTGCTTCTGTATCCACTGTTGGTGATTTTTTGAAAGTTTCTTCCTTTTCTTTTTATGTTTCATCTTGCTCTGTCTTTGTTCCTGCTCTGATTGCTGAGTGGATTTTTGTCTTCTTCTAGGTTGTTGTTGATCTTCTTCACCTTCATCCTCTACCTCATCTACGAGCCCACTTCGAGTGATGACTGGTGCAGGTGGAGCCTCTGGAATATTTTCAAGTTTGACATAGTCTTCTGGTTGCACACCAATTTGTTTCGCACGTTCAGTTTTGAAGGCAAGTGCTTGCTCCAAAGCAATAGGAAGTTTTACTTCCTTCACTTCTACTGGTGGGTCAACCTTCAGAGACAACAGTGATGGAAGTTTCCCATCAGAATGAGTGTCTTCATCAGAATCTACACCAGGAGGGCCCATACCAAGAGGTTCCATTCCTGGTGGAGGGGGCATGGCTACTGAAGGAGGTGGACCTCTGAGTTGAGGTGGAGCCAAATTTGGACCACTTAATCCACCAATAGGGGATCCTGATACATCAATTCCTGGTGGCATAATCCCAGGTCCTGGTGCAGGAATTGTTGAAGGAATAGCCATTGGTGGTGGCAGAACTGTAGGAGCAGTACCAGGGGGAGGAGCTGCCATTCTATGCCGCATCATATCTTCTTCCCTTTGTTTCTCAATTAGAGCTTCTTGCTGCAAGCGAAATAACTCTTCTTCTTGACGACGCTGCAACATCTGTCGTTCTTGTTCTTCACGTTGTTTTTCCACCAGTGCTGTCTGCTGAAGGCGTAACAGCTCTTCTTGTCTTTGTTGTTCAATCATGAGCTGCTGCTGATGGATTCTCTGCTGCATTTCCTGATTCTCCTGTTCTTCTTCCATAATTTCTGTTCACAGGTTTATCTTTTATTTATTTACTGCAATGCCTCGACTTCACACGATGCCTCGCAATCCACGGCTTCCACCATAAAATATGAAGTCAAGAAATCCCACACTCCGAACGCAAATCTACCTCCGACTTGTGCGGTACCGCTTGTGGTGAACTGTAAATCGAGAAAACAATGGATAAACGACGACTACAAAGATGACTAACCCCTAAAATCTGCGAATTCTACTATTATTAAACTATGATATTATTAGCGGCATAAAATAACTGTAATACAAACTAAACTTAATAAATTGTTTAAAATTTGTATTGCTCTACCTTCCACACAGAGAAATTATCACACACAAATTTTTATATGCAGTCAACTATTTATTCAGAGGTACCAACAACTCCATAGATAACCTAATGACTGTACCTATGCCTATACCAGGTATTTTTACTAAGACTAGCGGGAAACGTTGGGAGCAACTCGGTACAAAGGGATATTTCTATTTCGCGATCATAAGTGAGTAGAACACAAAAGTGCGAGTGAGAAATATGGCTGCTGAGATTAAGCCTGTGACTGCATCTAATAGTGATAAATTTAATTCTACAACGAAACCGGATCTTTTATCCAAACTAGAAGGTTGTACTGATGATGTAAATGCTGCTATTATAATACCTGGCGAAGACGGCGTAATCAGTGTTAGTGATGATCGGTAAGATACTCATTTTATATCGCTCTGAACCAAACCTTTCCATTGCCAGAGGTTGGTTTCGTTGTGAATTATTAGAAGTTTCTTTCGTCGCATATGAACTGCACTAATATAAAAATTTGCCATTCGAACGATACATCAGTGCTGACACCACTGATTAGCAAAAAACTGTCAGGCAACATAACCGGCGAATCGAACAGCTTGAGAAATGTTGACTAATCATTTTGATGGCTTCACGTTGCATGTGATATGGTTATGATAGTTTATAATTTTATGGATCACATAACACACCTGTCTAGTGTAAACACCTAGTTAGGTTGAAATAACTTTGTCTCTGCGAATTTGGAATGCAGAACAGAAAGAGGGTTTGGTTGCAATTGAACAAAAAAGTTAGAACATTGTGTTTCCATCCACGTCAAGAGTTTATATACTCATGTATTATATGATCGAAAATTGCTGTTGTTAAAGTTGTCTAACAGTATTTGATTCATTTTCTGCAGTGAGCATATGCCACATTATGATGTGAGTGTTTAGTTACTAATTTTGGGAGTGTGGAGAAAAAAATGCTTCCAGTCACGTCTATATTTTAGGGTCAGTGTCATTCGGCAAAAATGTAATGAAAAAGTGTTACGACAAAGGGAAACGAAAAAGTGTAACTTCATTGTTATGTTACCTAGGAAACGTCAAACTTCATTGTTATGTTACCTGGGAAACGAAAAAGTGTAACTTAATTGTTAAGTTACCTAGGAAAGGTCATCTGTTTATCAACAAATAAACAACAATGGTTACCTACATACTTACCTTACCTTACATTACATTACTTTACATTACCTTACCTTACATTACCTTACATTACATTCATCTACCACAGACCCATCTTAAGTGTAACTAATTCAAGTTAA